AACATATTAGGAGTTCTCTCTTGATCCACATGCTCTTAATAAAAGGCTTTATTTCATTCCTCTGCACACATGGACTTCTGTTGCAGTTTCCCTTAAGAGAGCTTTGCTTACCTCCTGGAGTATGGAAAACATTCCCCTGCTCTTTGCACACTAACCTGCTCTGGAGGACCAGAGGTCCTCATCAAACTGCTCTGCCCTCTAATTCTTCCCTGAATGCCTGCTTTCAAAACAAGCCAAAAAGGGAAATGAATGCTTATTCCATCAGAGGTTCTGGCATGCGACACTAACCAAGCAGGGTATGCACAGAATATATATATGTTTTGGGAAGAAAGAGATGTTAGTATCAGGTTAATCTTGGTTTCTACTCGAGATCTGCGTATAAACAGGTGGCACAAGACTGGAAAAGGGCAGGAGTTAACCACTTCATGCACAAGCATGACAAACTGCATTTTTTTCACTCGTTTAGGCACTATCAGTGTAAGAGGGAACCTTATGAACTTCATATTGACTTTCAGGTGAGGATTTCAAAGTGCTTGGCAAATATAGATTCACTGTCATAATTTCTCATCAATTCACTCTCAACTAGAAGGCAGCCCTTTTTTAACAGGGAATGGAATTACTAGTCTGATAATAACATCTTCACAATGGTACAGGTGCCTTTTTCTCAAGTGGCGTATCTGCTATTTGAATTTCCAAGTACCTAAATGGCATGCAGGGAGAGAACCAAAAGGACCTGAGAGTTAGTCCAGAGAGTTGTCTGTAATGATGTGTGAAGACGTTTTGAATCTTTTCTTCCATTCTTTAAGTGACAGTAGCACATCTCAGTGTTTTTGTGCTCATTTATTTAAATCCAAAGCAACAAAGGAAAAGTCCACACTGGATCCGATGACTCTTGGCAATGTTTCACAAGTAGAAATTTCCTTTTGGCCCTATTCAACGACAGATTTGTATTCCATATTCTGAGACTGTATAAAGTGAACAGTTTTGACTACACAGAGCAACAGTACTATTTATGTAACTATATAATCCATAGTCCTCAAGCGACAAGTGCTTTGGTATTACCTTGCTGCTATAAAAGAGCCAGCCCTGTGTTTTTTTAAAAAACTGAAAGTATGACTTAGCCAGCCTCTTATGAAAAGCCACAGTGGTCTACTAAAAGCTGAGAGTGAGCTGTAGAAGGGGCACTGGTTGTCTCCCTGTGACCGTGCTAGTGCCAACCATGTGCATCACAGGCATGATTTCAGAAAAGAACAACAGCTTTACCAGCATGCACCAGCACCAACCTCACACCTATAGACTTTCTGTACTTATTTATTCAGGACAGGGAGATTATAGATCTGAACACTGTCACTTTAGATCCCCAACAGAAAGGACACAGGTGATATACTCTGAGCATGACCACTGCAGGTCACAACTCATGTAATAAGCATTCTACATAACCATACAACACAGCTAACTCTCTCCATAGGTTGCCCACCTCTTCCTGATTACCAGCATCATTTTACACATAATGCAAAGCAGAATTTGGCCCACCAGGGACTTTTAGCACCTATTTGGTACCACACACATGATCCTGCAGTCATTCCAGACTGGGCCCAGCAAAACACTTCCCCTCATACTTTGCTTTAAACATATTTGTGATCTAGTGAACGGAACTACTTGTGCTGAAGTTTGAGCCGGCAATGGAGTGCTTTAGTTTCTTAGTCCCCTCACAGAACACCCACCAAAGTCATTAGGCTGGATAAGTGGAGGGCTAATTACAGTGTTTCAGTTTATAGCGATCCCCTGTGAGATGCGGTGCATACCTTCAAAAGTGTTGTTCCTTGCACTGAAGTATTTACCACAGTACTCATACTTCAAATGGGAAATAATGCAACTATGGAGGCAATAATGCAACTAGCGTGGGTGGTAACCAGCCAATTCTTCTTACACCTACAACATATTTTGTTCCCGAAGATCATATTAATGCTATTACAGGAATTACAAAATTGTTATAATGGGACCTGCTAGGCAATATTGTGTATGTGGAAACTTAAAATAGTAATGACCGCCCTAAATTTTCACTACAGCTGCTTTTCTTCTTCAATTCAGCCTGCTGTCTCTCTGCAGGCTCTCTAGTTTAATGACTGTTCATCCTTTCATTTTAACAGAAAAATACTAACTACTGGATGAGGGAGTGTATGTGTGTACTAGCAAGATCATTAGTCTGAATAAATGTGACAGCAGAGTTGCACAAGAAATGCCACAGTTAGTGGTAAGCACAAACTACAGCTTTGGGTGTAAAATACTGTAATTACAAGGGATGGAGAAAGCTCCACAGTTTTTATCCCCACAGAAATCGATAGTGGTGCAGACTGCTGCTCTTTGCTGGAGCAGGGGCAGTCTGATGAAAGAGCTTATTGATTTATCCAGCTGATGCTACTGTAGTGAATAATAGACTGGGAAAGAAAGGGCTTGTAAATTAGACTCATTCAAGCCAATGTTTTCCGGGATATCTTTTATGTACAGCTATACAGAGAGATATATTTACAAGTGGGTTTTTGTCAAAGCAACAGCCTAGTGACTCCTGGTAAGAGGGTCTGTCTACAGTCTGTCAACTACACTCATGGTACTAAAGTCAACCTTCAAGATCTCACTAAAGACTAAGGAGGAAGAACCAGTGCACCCAGGAGTAGGATTTGGTTATGGTGCAGGCAAGCAGCTGGCCAACACATCTCTCAGAGGGCTACACCCAAAGAGGAAAGGTGGCCATGCCTTCCTCCATGCCACCTGTGCCATGACAGACCCATTGGCATGAAGGCATTGGAAAGGTCTGCTGTGGATCCACAGGTCCACAGGATAGGAGAAACATCAGTGCCAAGCCAGACCCCACCAGCCTCAAACAACGTGGAAAGAAGCATGGTGTTTTAGGAATGAAAGGAGTCCTGAGTTCCTTCTTAGCTCAGCAGGCAGATTTGCTATGAATCTGGATCCACACCAGCAAAAATATATGTTCAGATTGGTTTTGCATAAACTGGGAAGGAGAAAGAAAGAAAAGAGACAGAAAGGGAGAGACTGCACAGCAGGCACACTGCCACCAAGTATGGCAAATCAATCTTCTCAGCAGTGATGGATCAGGGAGCAGGACTGTAAGTTTTACAGGTATATGAAACCCCCATGAGTATAAAGGCACCATTAAAACACTGCCATTAAATTCCAGCACTGAAGGATGATCAGAGCCCCTGGAGCCAAGCAGGTCAATATGTGACTGTATATTTTTCATTACCATTTTTTATATACATATATATGAAGCAGAATAGGATTCACAACAGCCTCACTCTCTCGCCTGCTGAAAACCTCTGCTTTATACTTAGCATCCACTTTCACAAATAAAATGCAATATACCATCAACAGATAAATGAGATCCCTACAGGGCTTTTATTCTGTCGTACCATTATATCTACTTTTCCACAAGATTTCTGCTTAAATGGCTCTCTTTATGCACATACACAAAGATGACATACACCTGTCTAAATATAATCTGATAGTGAAGAGCTCTTCTGTATGAGGAAATGTATCTTTTCTTCCTAATTTACCATAATGACTCACTCACACCGCTGGAGCTAGGGCTATGTTAGTTTCCCCACTATAAAAGTCACCAAAGTGTTGTACTAGTAAGATGTGGCTGGATCATTATTTTTTTTTCTATCTTTAGAGAAGAAAAAGTGAGGAGCTCAGAATCTCACCTTTCTGTCTTCCCCATAAAAACAACGTTTTGAGGAATTACAGCTTTATAGGCTGCTGACACTGACTAACAGTTTTTAAAATTATGAACGTGTTTGTGTGAGCCACACTGAAGAAGCCTTTTTTGTAAATCTGTAAAACCTCTGAGCAAACGTCCATGCTGTGCCATAGGGTAGGTCAAAGATCACTGCCAGCACAGTAGCCACCTATACAGCACTTGTTCAGAAGCAGACCTATTTAATAGCTAGTAGTGTCACTTTTCTGTCATCATGACTATTTCAGTCAAAAGTAACTTGCCTCAGAGAATAAAAACTCCTGACTCCTTTTTCATGACAGAACTCAAAGCATTTTATGATCTGGACACACAGATAACAGACAGTTACAGTCACAGCTCTTTGGGCAACAGAGGGCTGAGGCTCGACAGAGAAGTACTGCAGAGAAATAGGATGAAGGAACAGGAGAGAGGTGTATGTGAGGATTTTGGCTCAGGTTATTGCGCTAATGAAATGTGAAAGGAAGCTTCAATTCACCAGTAGAACAGAGAAGACCTCATTTTTGAGAAGGGATGGGACTAATCATTCATCAGCATAGGTCAGAATCACACTAAAAGTCTACTTTTTTTTTACTTCTTGCTCTTACTAGTTTACAAAGGCAGAACTATATCGTGAATAGGCATAGACAGAACAAACTTCAGTATTAGACTTGATCTTCATGAGGCTGCAGCATGCTGATAACTATATATGAAGTTGGCACAGGCACTTCATAGACACAGGGTACCTCTTTATACTACAGGGCACCACAAATTCAAAAACAGGCATAACTATTATATGTAGAAACAAATGCATCCACTATTCTTGACAGTAAGAAGCCACAAGCTGATGCTTTGCTAAGTTTACTGTTTTGAAAACATTGGCTTTGCTCTCAACTCTCTACTTTTCATTTGCATTGCCACAAGGGTCACTGTCAAGGTTCCCTGGACAGATTCTGAGCTGGTATTAGAAAGAACGACTGTTTGATGGGGAGAGCAGGGAGGAGAGCACACTATAATGAGACTTTATAATTCTTCACTGCTCAACTTCATAAGCTTTAGAGAGCATTACATTAATCTTCAGCGAAGAAGAGTGGGGTGTCCAGTCTGGTGAGAACTGGATTAACCCATTTCTCCATCCTACAAATGATTCTGTGACTTTAGGTCATTGATGCTGATCTGCAGCTATTGCAGGTTTTTCTACGGCCACATACATCCCAGACCCTGGAGGCACGACAGTGGCACTTACCCTGCATGCAGAGCCCGTCGGTGCAGTTCTTGGACTGCAGCACCAGCCCCTCGCAGTCCTTTCCTCCGTTTTTCGGCGCTGGGGCCGTGCACTCCCTCCGGCGCCAGTGTGTGCACTCTGTGCCGCAGGTGGACCACTTGCTCCAGGATGTCCACTTGCCATCCACTGAGACAAGGAAAGGACATGACTCATTAGGAGGAACATAAAAGTGAGACTGAGCGAGAGCCATGCACGTCTCAGCACAAGTCAGCCTGCAACTCTTGACCATTCCCAGCAAGGTAGAAGGATCATCAGTCTGCTCTTCTCAGTGTCCTATTTCTGGCCTGTAAACGTACATTCACAGAATCATGGAATCATAAAATGGTTTGGGTTGGAAGGGACCTTAAAGATCATCTAGTTCCAACCTCCCTGCCATGGTCACTCTTTGTCTCTTTTCTCTCTGCCCCAGCCCCATTTCTGCTCTTTCCTCCTCTTCTTATAAACTTGTCAGCAGTTTATCTTTGCTCAAAGTGTACAAGAAAATGAACAAGTCGGGAATCTGCAGTTTTTTTTTGTTTGAGCATTTTTTAACAGACATCAAACTTGTCTAGAAATTCTTCTTTAGTAGAAAGACATTTAATGTTAAATATTTTCTATTAAAAGAAGTATCTAGAGACACTGATCTATTTCACATGAGCAGAATCAGGAATGTGTTTAGCACCTTTCAAAATCCCACAAATTCTTTTCAAAAGCACTAAATTGAACAGTCAAAGAACAAACTATGAAATTGTTCCCGTGACACAGCCTGAGCCAGGAGTCTGTCACTTGGAATAGTGATCAGAGATGAAATTTCAGCTTTTAAGTCTCATGTGCCACTAAGACCTGGAGTTGGATGGCCAAGCTTCACAAGCTGAAGACAACCCTACTTCCATCAATTTGAGTGGGACTGCAGAGGTAGGAAAGCACTGGACAATAGGACATATGGCAGAATTTCTGTCACAGAAAAGCCACGAACTATCTTGCCTGATCTGAAGCAATTTCATATTTTTCAGAAGTTTACATTTAAATACCTTTTAAAGGTATGCATATACATCTCTTTCCAGTATAAACATATTTGTATTTGAAGTAAGGTAGACACATGCCTCAAGTTTATCATCCGCACCTCAGACGCTCCACTTGCTGGGACAGCTGGACTGAGCAGACATTGCAAATACACATACATCACAGTTGCTTTCTATATTCAAATTCTATCCATCTTCCAGAACTTTCAACCTTTATCTCCTACAATTTGAAGCTCTGAACGTCCCCCAAATCCCCTGAATTACTGAAGCTGAGACACTAGTGTAAGCTGCATGCAAAATTGGGTTCAAATCCTCTGCCGCTTGATATAAAGTGCTCACTATTTTATCTACTTATGTAATATACTTTCATATTCATTCACTTAAATGTTGGATTTATTAATAAAGAGAAGGAGGATTTTGTGACTAATAGTCTTCTCCTTAAATGACTGGTGCTAGACAAACTATCTAGAGCTATGTATTTTTCATACTGAACCTGGACACAGAGTGGTGCAAGCAATTTTCTGGACACTCTGGCCCTCGCAGAAGGCACCACCGTTGAGTGGGGCAGGATTGGTGCAAGTCCTCGTACGCTTCTGAAAGCCTCTCCCGCATCGGCTGTTACACACTGACCACTCAGTCCAGGTGGACCAGCCTCCATTCACTAAAAAGCAAGAGAGAAAGAGTATGATTGCTTAAGGAAGCCATCCTGGTCAGCCCAAAGGCACCTGTGGCTCTGTGTCATGCTGCCTCCAACAGCAGTCACAGTGATGGCAGGGAAGAGCACGAGAAGCAGTGCTGAACAGACACAAACCCATGTCTCCAACGTACCCAATGTACAGCATGCCAGAAGTCATTGTACAAGTCAAAGAAATGCTGACACTGAATGAGAAGCAACATTTGATGACTATTAAGGCTGGCAGATGACCTGCCTTCTCCTGAATACCAACCTGACCCAGCACTAAGCACCTGGTGGTGTGTGTACGGCCAAAATCCCTGCGGGTTCAGAGAGTACCAGCAGCTCTGCCAGCCAGAAGCCTGTGCTCTGGAAGCTGCACCATTTTCCAAAGGGAGGCAACATGCACTCCAGTGCATTCTCAAATGTACCCACCATCTCTGCGTGCTGAAAGACTCCTGTGCTTTGACTAGGAATTGAGAATTTTTTTTCCCTTTCTTTCCAGAATGTGACTTCAGCATACTGGGGCAACTTCACTCACCCCTCCGGGCACAGCTGGTGTATATGAATGCCCCAGCATTTCTGTAACAGATATTTAAGCTGCTCAGTGTGAACTCTCACTAAATGCATTTTTATTTTTGGACTTTGGGAAGAAATTTATCTTTGGGAAGGTATTTATGCTGACTCTCTTCTTCACCCACCTCAGTTTCTGGGATGGATGAATGCATGGATGGATGAAGAAGGAGCTGTGCTGCTCTATGTAATAATGTCATCGCCAGGATATGCATAACATACTAACTGCTCAGATTTCCTGACCCCCAATTGTGATATGACACAACCTTTAGGCAGCTTTCATAGCAAAACCCATATAAATGGCAGCTCCCCTACATATATGTCTCTTGACTGCACTGTTGAAAAAAATGCTGTATATGTATGAGGAAGACTTTCAGTCTGCCTGCATCTTTTATGTCTCTGCATTCATTACTGTTAAAACACCCAGTGCTCTTGTATGGTCCATTCCTCAATATCACAAACACTGCTAATCAACTCAATTCAGTTGGTTTTCTATAAAAACTGAACTAAAAAGCCCTCATTGTAACTTCAGGGAAGCAACTGCTTACAATTAAATCTAACTGCTACCCTGAATATGAAATGAATATTAGGGATAATCATAGGGATTTTTTCCTCCTTGTCTATCCTATAATTAAGCTGATTGTAAGGAACACCAGGACAGTCAGCTGGCACGTCGTCAGAGCAGGTTTTGTTCTCGTTGATACTCCCGCCTGGGATGTACTGGGGCAGTAATTTTGCAGGGGCAAAGGCTTGGACTGGTGGGGCAGAGCTGCAGTGCAACACAGCCTGAAAGAGACGCCAGAAAGACACCTCATTCAGCCCCTCCCCAGCCAAAGCACAGACAACCTCAGCATTAGATCAGGGTTATGGATGCAGACACAGAATAATGTTATCCCATGCTTTGTATTTACAGAATCATAGTGGTTGGAAGGGACCTCAGGAGATCATCTAGTCCAACCACCCTGCCAAAGCAGGCTTCCCACACCAGGCTGCACAGGAAAGCATCCAGGTGGGTTTTGAACATCTCCAGAGAAGGAGACTCCACAATCTCTCTGGGCAGCCTGTTCCAGTGCTCCGTCACCCTTAGAGTAAAGAAGATTTTCCTTAAGTTTGTATGGAACTTCTGGTGTTCCAGATTTTGCCCACTGCCCCTTGTTCTGTCACTTGTCCTTGTCCTGTCCCCTGATATTTATTTTTAAACTAGGTTGTGTGCCTATGAACTGCAGGCCCAGAGTGCTTTGCTCCTGACGTCAGAGTATGTTTTGGTAGTGCACCCCAAAAATAAGTTTATTCAAAAGAGATGTAAGAAGCTGGATGATTCTCCTGAGCTCTGACATTCCTACCAATATCTGGAATGACAAACTGCTTTTCAGTTTTACTCTTATTTTTGAAAAGCGACGCTAAGAATGTGAAATGCATCAGTAGAAACAATGTCTTGGATGCTCCTGCTGGAGGAATTGCCCTCATGTCTCCTGGCTGCCTCCAGCCAGCGTGTATTATGGCAAGGGGAGTAACCACCTTCTCTTCAATGAGGCAACCGGCTGTTTGTGTAGGTGCTGTCCCTCCTTTAACACCATTGTTTGTCACCAAAGCCAAGCCATCAGACCTGTACTTCTGAGGGTTTTCAGTAATGAGCCCTGACTGCAGTCCCTGCATATGGCTGCAAGTCAACAGTCAGCACACGTGGCCCAGCTGGACTCTGACCGCTGTAAGAACTACAGACAGGCATTTTGCATCCCCCTCTATCTCCACTGCTCGCTTTGAGTGCGTGTCCGCTCACATGCAGCAAGACAAGGCACCACTTACCATAGACAATGACAGTTGCTGTGGTGCTTTTCCTTTTAGCCACAATGTTTTTGGCAACACAAGTGTAATTGGCTGTGTCAGACAGCCGAGCTTGCTTGATGATCAGGTTGTGATCGATGGTGATGTAAAAATTTCGGTCTTCCACAGGATCAATTACCTCTTCGTTCTTCAGCCACTCCACCTTAGGGTTTCAAAGGGTCAGAGGAGAGGCAGTGAGTCAGTACCAGGTCACACCACAACAGGCACAGTATCTGTGATTACATTGCTCATCCCAGAAAGTGCTATGAGTCAAGACACATCACGAAAGACTCACTACGAAGGACTCACCTGATGCACACTGCCAACTGAAATAAAACACCATGGCATTCACACAGAACACCATTCATGTCTACCCTTTCCTTCAGGTCCCCTTCCCTCCCACCTGTCCACACAACAGCTGTCTTGCCTTGCCTTGAAAATATCAATGCATTTTCAAAGGCTCCCAGCTACTGTACAGAGAAAAATAGCTGATCTTTGCTTTCAGAGTCTGAGGCAAGGGATAAGGAAGAGGTATTACCTCCAGACCATATCTATAAGCAAAAAATTCCCTTGTAACATCAGAAACCCTAAACTAGCAGAGATCTCACCCATTCTTTCATACATCTTGTCTAATTAGGCAGTTATTAATGCATGTACCAGCCTTGGGTCTAACACAACGAGGTTCTATACTAGAGTAGGTTATCCTAACAAATTACAAACATGCCAATGTTTTTAAGTATACGTGCACTGTACATGCATGTTATTGTTTTGCTGCAATCAGGATTAAACAAAATAGAGACAGTTAAGAAGGAAATAGGGCATCACAAAGACTACATCAGTGCTTATTTTGCCTTTTTTCTTTATGTAAGCTATATTTTATTTTAATAGAGCATAATTTCCATGGTTACACAGAAAAATATTTTCATATGTGAATTTTAATCTAGACAATGTTCTCTTTATTGCCTTCCTAAAGAAACACCCTATTATATCCCAGCTGACTGCTGTGAGCCACCCTAATATAATTTGGCTGCAAATCTAGTAGCTTGTTTTCATTTGAACTGAGCATGCTCTGAAGGATGGGAGCAGGGCCCTGGACGGATCAAAGCTGGGCCTTCATGTCACTGGATCACTTCAGCTTGTGCCCAGCATTTAATTAAAGGAAGAAAAACATAAACACAATCAACTCGCTGGACCCGCGAGATGCTAACTACCAAGACCTGCTCTCACAAACCCCATTTTTCCAAAGACATTTGAGGAACTGCCTGGGCATCAACATACCCCCAAAACAACAGAGAACTTGTCCTCCCCCAACCCCGAGACAGCTGCTTAGACTGTCCCAAGCTGTGGGGAGAAAGCCGATGGCCTCTCCTGATGTTAAACACAGAGGACTCAATTCATCCCCAGACGGAGCCGGTCCAACGCTGCGAGGCCAGGTTGGCGGACGTGGGCTTGGATCCAAGCTGCCCACTGCCCACGCCCCATCTTTAGCGCTACTTTAAGCAGCTCTGGCTCCCCCACCCCAGTTTGGGTGGATGTGCATCAGGTGTGAGCTGCTTCCAAAGATGTACCCCTTAGTGAATGTAAAGCCACTGCCCTGAGGAAGGCTTGATTTAAACCCTCCTCTACCACAGCAGATTGCTACAGTACGTGGTAGCCTCACAACTAACAATACTTTATAGCTTAAAACTGGTGATGTAAAAAGGGCTGTGGAAATAGATATATGTGTCTGTGAGGAACAGGGGAGGAAGAAAAAAAGACATAAAACTTTGGAGGCTGTGTTTCTGTCACTACAACATTCATTTTTTCCATGGAAGATACAAACTTTTGGCCAATAACCTGTTTTTCCTTGCCAGGATGACTAAAATTTTCTTCATCCTTTTTTTAATCCTAATAGGTACCAGGTATAATCAAGACAGACAGATTCTTGTTCAGTCAATGACAATATTCCTTCCTCATCCACATGTCAAGTCTGCATGCATCCCAGACTGTAAAATAAGTCAGGATCTTATCTTTCCTCCAGTGGTAGTCTGCCACTTTATTCCTGCTTCTCAGACAAACAAAATGTCTTTCTTGGGTTTTAATGTAATTATTTATTTATGGAATGAAGCACAGACTTGTGTCAGGACTCTAAAAGACAGTATCATAGAATGGTTAGGGGTGGAAGGGACCTTGAAGTTCATCTAGTTCCAACCCCCCTGCCATGAGCAGGGACACCTTCCACTAGACCTGGTTGCTCAAAGCCTCATCCAGTCTGGCCTTAAACACTTCCAGGGAGGGGGAATCCACAACTTCTCTGGGCAACCTACCACAACCGTGCCACAGCTTTGTACCACCTTCAAACCTACCTGTACTTTTCCTGTGCTCTGCACACTGAGGACATCAGAACATCAGTGAAGACAGGACTACAGTCGTCCCATGGTCTAAGGCTCAGTCCAAAATGTTTCTGGTACGTCCATCCAAGCACACACTCTAGCAGTCCTCAGCACTGTGCAAGGCTCCATGCTCAAGCATGCAGTCCTGTTTTTCCTGTGCTCTGCAACACTTACTCTCTCCACAAAAACACACACCTACATATTCAGTCTGAGTCTCAGCTGATTAGACAAAACTAAAGCCATGAGCACTAAATTCCATCATCCCTGCAAAAACACTGAAGATGTTACGAAAACAAGAGTTGCCGATATCAGGAAATAAAGATACTCTGTATAATTCAGTATACTGCCTCTGGCTCTTCACCAAATCTCTTACGAAAAAAGATCCTTTTCACCCAATGGCTAAACCCCATCTCTCTTACAACATAACTAATTTAATCATCTTCTGGTAACCAGGTTTTTACGATGTCATGAGTCTGTTCATGTAGCAAACGACAACGTCACCAAATCTGAAGGGATGAACTGATGGATGATTTGACAAGAGACAGGAGTCTCCTTTCATATACATTTAGACACAGTAGAGCAGCACAAAAAAGAGCGCAGTTCTCCAGTGGATGTGTTTTCTCCCTCAGTTCTTGTAGCAATTATAACTAATTAAACACACTACAACATGTGAATGAGACTGTTGTTGAATGTAACTATTTTCAGTTACTACCAGCCTCATTTTTTCTGGTGCAGGTGACTGCAGTACTCAGCACCTCCAAACCTCAGATTTATTTTTTTTGATGTAACCAAAATAGGTGGGAGTAGGGTTGTTCTGTCACAAAAGCAGGAAGAGATCAGGTGTCAAATACAAAAGAGAAAAGAACAAAGTGGAACGAGACAGTGTGATTTATGAATGACAAGTATGCAAACTGTTATTACAGAAGTTAAAAGTTACGATCTCTTTTGATGCCATGTCATTCCCCAAGGTGCAGCCCCCTTGCTGAAGTAGGCTGTTAACCCAGTCAATGCAGAAACTTATCCTGAATTTAATTCTGCTGCCTGAATAAAGGTGACTGGTGCCCTGGGGAAACTGCCATGCTTGCAACAAGGTTGGCAGATGAGGTGCTGCACATTAATGTGCCAGAGACCTGCACCTCCCTGGGAGAGCAGGCAGAGAGGCAGCAGGATACCCATGGTCATTTCAAAGTGCACAAGATGCCTGTCTTCAGGACCATACCAAATCATGTCTTCATGGCTCCATTTTTCAGCTCTCTGGAGAAGGCATTTCTGGAGTAGATGTTCACTTTTGCCTAAGTATTGAGGATGTATATTTACTGGCTGTAGTCACAAGAATTCTTGAACAGGTACTTAGCTCTATTTGTTAATTAAATCAGGCACATCCCTCCAACTGTTATTAATAAAAGTATGGGTGGCTGTGCATGTACGTAGAAAAAGCCTGTGCATCAGTTTTTCCTTATCATAACATTAATCATTTAATTGGCAACAATACTGCCATGGAATATAAGGTAAATATTCCCTTGTGGAGACGACAGCTATGGAAAATAACAACATGCAACTGTTTTTCTTACACACCCACACCCTGGAGCAAAGCAGGCACAAAATCCCCATTTCTTTTTTAAGTTTCCCACTCAATATGATATTTTTGTTATATGTTTGCAAACTGACTAGCAAGAAAAGTCCTCTCTGCAAAGGTGTGAGTGCAGTGAATGAAATCCTGATTCACAGCAACTGCAGATGCTGAGAAGGTGGAACACACCTAAAGTCAACTTGTTTTTGGTCAGAGCTCCTTAGTCCTCTGGATGGAATTTGCAGAGCAGTTGGGCACACGACTCCTGCCAGCTGTGCTGGATCTATACACCCAGTGCTGCTAACACACAGGCAAGCTTGCCAAGACACTGAGCTATCCCCGACACCGGCTGGGGAAGCTCATGATCCGAGGCGGCTGGAATTTAGAGCAACATACCTTGTAGCATCTTCTCTGCCATCTCACTCCCCAGTGAGAGACAGATGTGTTGTCTCTAATTATTCACTGATTGGTATCGGGAGATACATTAACATAATTGGCACATTTGTTCTAATTAACAGAGGGAACCTGCCACATGCCACCCAACATGAAAAGCAAGACCATCAGCAAGAACAGAAAACCCACAATCACCACCCCGGCTACATCTCAGAGCTGCAGCGAGACCTGTGCTGCTGCAGGACTTTTCCAGCAGCAGCCTGAAATAAGGCAGCACACACCAAGATTATGACTTGCAAAGCTGCGTCAGGCTTCTGTGCAGACTAAATGAACACAGGGAACATAAATCACACAGGCGATTACATATGCAGGAAAACCTATTACAGAAGCTAATTGCTGACACAAATTTAGCCATACCAAGTTACTAGCATTACTAGACACTTAAATCTCTTGGCACACTTGTGTATGTGTGACTGTTTTAGAAACTGGTAGAGCAGAAGCACATCTGCTCCAATAGAAACCCAAGAACGGAAAAGGGATACAAGCTCATCTAGATCCTTGCCTCCTGATTGTACGAGTTGTTCCTTACACCTCTTGCAGTCTCAACAGGAAAGTTAGCAGGGTCCAAGTCCTGGATCCCAGTCTCTCACTGCCTCCTCCACATCTATCTGCCCTAGAGTCATCTTCACAGCAGAGAGTACCTGCTGAAAACAGCCACTCTTTCACTCCCCTAGACGCAGGCAAAGCCCTCCGGTGCCCATAAGTGCAATTCTCCAGAAGAAACATGATGCAAACGGCTGGGAGCAGTGAGAGATTTGCCTCGATAAA